AAATTGGACCCTCTAATTTCACCGTATACAAAGTTATAATCGATCCTACTGTGGCCGAGTGCCTATGAGCGACTAGTTGGTCGAGATACAAAGTCTGGTATGGCCGAGCGCCTATGAGTGAGCCTAATGGCAGAACAGTTATATATATATATATATATATATATATATCGAGCCTTATAGGGCAGGACAACTATTTTACTTACTATATTAAGAAAGTTGAGTCAGTATCAGCAGGTAAGCATATCTTGAGATTATTTTTGACTTCCAGCTACTTGCAGTTATTATTATCAGTTCAGTTTCAGCTTTCAGTATATTGCCTTACATACTCAGTACATTATTTCGTACTAATGTCCCTTTTCTGGGGGCGCTGCATTTCATGCCTGCAGGTTCAGACAGACAGACGGGTAGGCCTCTTTATAAATGTTGCCCGAGTTCAGCTTGATCGGTAAGCTCCATGCCTTTCGGAGTTGCCGGATGTAGAGCCTTATGTACATCCTGTATATATGTATATATATATATATATATATGTATATATGTATATATATACATATATGTTATGAGTAGGTCAGGGAGCTGTTCCGATCACAGTACATCCATCAGTTGAGGCTTGTAGACATATCCTGTCAGTTAGTGCAGTATGTTGGGCTTCCAAGCTTTGTATGTATATTTGGTTGGTTTGTCAGCTGTAGTAATTATGACGGCCTTGTCGGTCCAGTTTTATATAGCCATTTAGTCAGCACTCGCAGTTGTCTTGAAATGTGGCCCATGGCCAAAGTATGATATCATATGTTCCGAGTCCCTTAGTTGCAAGTTGGTACGCAAGGATAGGTGAGGCACTAGGTGCCGGTCTTGCCCCCAAGTTCGGGGTGTGACAGTAGCTGACGCCTCTTTCTTCCTTTTCTTGCCCTTACCGAGCTTCGAGGTCCCTTCCTCACCATCAGGAGACGGCCGCATCAACACTCCATCCCTGAGGCCTACACAAGCGTGATACATCAAACTTACCACCATAAAAGATATTCATAAGGAGACATGGTACAAATAGCAATAAAGAGCATACCGTGGTTCTTGGCCTGCCACTGCGTTTTGGCCAAGTCGGTCCAAGAACGATCGAGATAAGAGAAAGCGGAATCCAACTGTCTAATCCATCCGGATAGGTTCTGAACTGCACTAGGGTACCAAATGGTGGCTGCATAATCAAAAGAAGATCATTTTTTGAGAAGGGGATGAAAAGGCAATGAAATATGTCCGAGGTAGGGGCACTTACGATTCATATTCCACTCTTTCGGGAATGGCATCCTATTAACCGGGATAATGTTTGAGGTCCTCACTCGGACAATCCGGTTCATCCACCCCCGATCTTTGTCCTCATTGATGCTCGAAAAGAACGGCCTCACAGATCAAGGATGAATCTTGATCAAACCTCGGAAGAGACGGAGGCTGTATAATCTGACCATGTGATTGAGGGTGAAGGTCATACCCTTGACCTGGTTGAAAAGTACCGGAGAATATGAACGATCCTCTAGAAAGACGGACAGATCTAACCGAGCGTCACTCGGTACTCATGGCAGAAATCGAGAATCACCGGATCTATCAACGGGGAAGATGGATCCGAAGAATCTGCGGGGCCTAAAGTAAATGGGTATGTATAGATGCTTAGGAAGCTAGCTTTATGGTCTACTATGCTCTCCCCAAAATTGGGGATTTCTACTAATGCTACCTCCCCTCATCGACAGTCTTTCTTCACTCTGTTCGTATCGTTACCACGCTGATGTACCGAGACACGTGCTCACATCAGCCTAGTGTAGCAGAGGGATTTTCGATGGAAAAATCGGATATAGTATCGAACTTGGTAGGGGTACATTGCTCGATAGTTGGGGGTACTTTTGGTTTGCCCTTCGACGGGCGTGATGAGGAGGCGGTGCCCTCCTTCTAAGGTACCATTCTAGAGGTTCTGGCCATGACTATAAAAAAGAAGGGTTTCTGGAAAGGAAAGTGAAGAAACAAGCACAGGGAGAAGAATGCAGAAAATGGTGAATTTAGCTATAAAATCTTGAAGGTGTTGTAAAGTATGAATGACAAAACGGTTGAGGTATTTATAGAAGCCACATGGGCAGCATTTGGGAAGTGGAAAGGTTGAACCAATAGTGGTTCATGGGCTTCTCGTAATGTTGATAGCGACCCATGCGCAGTCTTTGAGTCATGGCGTTTAATGCTCTAATAGGCTGACGTAATGGGGGTAGTATCGAAGAGGTAAGAACTCAAGACCGTTTCTTATTATTTTCATTCTAAGATACGCGAGGACTATCTGTATGCGGTAAAAATCAGAGGGTCCGATTTTATAGTCATTATGACGCTTCGTAGGCACGTCTCCAAAGGCTCGAGACAATGGTCGAGGTTCAACCCTGAGAGGTTATCAACGTTTGATCTCGGGGCAGTGTAGATCGGTAGTTATGATGGAAAAATGGGAAGTTCTCAAGGCACGTGGTTAAAGTTGACCAAGGCTATTAGACTAGTTTAAGCCCGTACTATGGCATTAAATGGTTGTACCAGCCAAATATATTTGTAATAAATGTATTTGTACTATGTTGGGATTCCCCTTCATATATAAAGGGGGCCCTTGTCCTTTTGTAAGAGACAACACACAACATTCAATATAAGAACAAGAACATTCTCTGCTCTCTAACTTAAACACATTCTCCCTTGATTCTATTACTTACATTTATTACTTGCATTTATTGTATTTCATCAATTGTTCTTCATTTATTACTCATTATTGATCATAAAGAGACTTCATAAAAGCTCTCAAAATTGTTAGTCATTCATCGGCTGTCCACAACTTAGCATCTAGCTCGACCTCGAGGCCCCGTATAACCTGGTTCGAGGCCTTGATTTTCAATCACTCGGTTTGCTTAAACATACTGCTTTTACATTCTTATCTCATTTTTTAGTCTCACACTTAGTATCTACTGCCTAACAACTAGCATACAAATAAATCACGTATTTTTAGAACCACAAAATCAATTTTAATTGTAATTACCATTTTCAAGGTAAACAATATTATCAACATACTTTTCAATTTTGAAGCTCACTAAGACTTGTCTAGTTATTTTAAGTTCACCACATTCATTAAGCCATTAGAGTTTATAAGAACATGTATGTATTTGAGTCTTCAAGTTCAACTTGTCAACCATAGAAGCACTAGCAATATTAGCACAACTTCCACCATCAATAATCAAAGAACACACTTGATCTTTAATCTTACACCTTCCATGGAACAAACTTTCTCTTTGGTTCAAATCTTCCATTACTTGTGCAATCAATACTCTCCTAATAACATACAAAGATAAATTAGGAGTGTCATATTCTATTTCATCATCACATTCGACCTCCTCTTCTTCATATGATTCTCTACTTTCTTCCCTTTTATAAGCTTCTCCCACAAGGATTATGGTTCTTCTACTAGGACATTCACTCATTTTATGACCATATCCTTGACATTTGTAGCACCTCTATGAGTTAGAATTTTGAAAATAAGGTTTAGATGTTACCTCCCATCTTAGCCCCTAACTTTGGTTTTCCTTTGTCATTTTGCCGCTTGGAGTCAACTTTTGGCTTGTTGTCATTTGAAAGAGATTGCCAAGTTGTCTTGCTTTTGCTCCGAGGAGTGTTGTAACTTTTGGATTTGCTCTCTATGAGTTGTCTCTCTTTTTGGAGTTTATTTTCAACCTTGATGGCCCCTTGTAGTGCCTCATATATAGTACAAAATTTGTGCAAAGTCAATTGGCTAGAGATTTCATGCTTAAGCCTCGGCAAAAATATAGAAATCATAAGTCTTCCATTATCATCGAGATTGGCTCTAACTCGTCTTCCATTATCATGGAGATTGGCTCTAACCCTAGTGGTCTCCAACTCTTCAAAGTAAGCCTCCACGTTCTTGTATCCTTGTTTCGTGTTGTAAAATTTGGTAAGCAAGTCATTCACATACTCTTCGGGCACAAATCTTGCTCTTATAACCACCCTAAGAAACCCCAAGATTCAATGCAATGTCTCCATTCCTATTTCTATCTAATTTCTTTTTCTCCCACCAAAAAGAAGCATAACCAATAAGTTTAGAAATGGCATGCTTGAACTTCTTTGCAACGGATACATTGTTAATCTCAAACATCCTTTCCATTTGTATTTTCCATTTTAAAAATTCCCCGGGATCACTACTTCCCATGAAAGTAGGAAGTGAAGTCTTGATGTTGTTAAGACCCCGGTCTTCTTTATCTTTGTTCAACCAAAAATAAGATTTTCGGTCAAAGCTTGTTTTTATAAGAACTCGGGTTACTGATAATCAAATAGAAATAAGAATAATTGATGTAAATAATAGCTGGATAAAAAGTAAAGTAAATCAGTATATTCCAATAGTATTTCGTGTCCTTACAAATGTTCATTCCTCACCTTTTATAGCTATTTCTAAGTAATACGTTTCTCTCCTTCCATAATGGCGTTATTATGGACAATTAATGACATTTAATGTAACGTTATAATTGACAATCGTAACTGTTTCGGTATAGATTCTATAACGTTTTCCGTAATTAATGCTCATTAATTATCAATAATATGTATCTATACTCTTTTGCTATTTAGGTTCATTCTCCCGATGCTTCTTCAAATTATCAAGAGGTTCGAGCACCCATTCCTTCTGGTTTTCTTGGATCTTTGCCTGTGCCTGTTAAAGCTCATGCCTCTTTAACTATTCTTCGTCAACTATCATTCTTTTGTTGATCCACGTGTCATGACACATCAACACATAATTAACTCGATGTAATAACTTGATTTTTCCCAATACAGATAGTCCTCCCACTTGCCATTTATTCATCAATAGAATATTTGGGAAGTGGATCTCATTAAAGCGGGAATTTTTGCCGCCATTATATCTTCTCTGGAACTGACGCTTCATATGTCACTTCCATTTAATGCTCGTGACATGTGGCATCTTCCGATTGGATCTGCAACTCTTCAGCGTCTTTTAGGGCTTTTTTGCGGCTTCATCAATTACGAAGTGACAGTTTCCATCATTACACCTTTTCCTTTGACAGTTGCTTCTGAGTATAAATATAGCCTGTCTTTGTCTTTTTCATAAAAAGTTACTTATCTTGAAATATTCATTTTTATTTTCTTCTTCCTCGTACAGTCATGTCTTCTTCAAACCCTAATCCTCGAAGAGTCCCCATTGTTGACGAACTTCCTCTTTCTCCTGTTAGAAGTAGAAGAGGGGGAAGATTGCGTAGTTTAAGGTCTTCATCTAGACGGGGTGCTTCTTTACCTCCAGTGAGTTCTAACCCTTCTTCTAGAACTAGGGGTTCTTATTCACATAGATCTTCTTCTAGAGGTAAAGATTCTAGTGAACCAGTTCATGAGCCTTTAGTAGATGAGATTGTCCCTTCTGAACTATCTTTTTACACTGATAGAGAATCGATCAGAAACCAAGTTTCTTCTATGTCTTCTTTAGATCGTGCCGACTTTTACCCTTCTCAAATTACTGAAGGTTTAATCTCTGTTGTTCGTAGGGATTGCCATTGGAGACCTTACTTCCCTATCATAATTCCTAATGCAAACCAAAAAATTACATCTTACATGACCGGATTTTCTTTTGTGTATACATATCCCTTTACACTGAATTTCAAACCCCCCATTGATCCTGTTATCATTGAGTTCTGTCATTTTTTCAACGTTTGTCTAGGATAGATTGGCCTAGGGTTGTTGCTTGTTTAAGGCACTTAACAAGGTTGGCTAATTTGCCTTTTACTTTTTTCCATTTGATCCATCTCTACTCCCCTAAGCTTTTCCGACATGGGATCTTCACTTTAGTGGCGAGAAATAAGAGAGTGCTAGTTAGCCTTGAGGATGATAAGGACCGTGGCTGGTATGCCAGATTTGTTGTTGCCCCTACTGTTGGTTTAGTAGGTGAAGAAAATGTACCATTCCCCGAAAAGTGGAATTTTGCACATAAGTTTTACTTTTGCATTTTCCCTTTTTTTTTTTATTTTGAAAGGATTTATTTTACCCGTAGTTGTTTAACTTTCTCTCTCTCTCTCTCTCTCTCTCTCTTTTAGCAACCATGGGAACTGTTGATGAGATTCCCAATTTTCGTAATTGGGTAGAGAAGTTACTGACTGTTGCTCCGATGGAAGGTAGATCTTGGAAAAATCTTTCACACATATTTGGTTGGAAGGTTAAAACTCATGGTAAATGCTTTACCCCCCTCCTTTTCATATTTTCATTCATCTTTTCCTTAGAAATTATTTGACCCTTCTTTTTATCAGGGTTTCCTATACGTTGTGTAAATGCTGAAGTAGTTGCGGCTTCCAAAGTTTCTTTGGAAAGAGCTTAAGATATAATCTTGAGTTCTTCATCGAAAAGGAAGGCTGATGCAACCTAAGATTCTGAGGAGTAACAGGATGGAAGCTCCTTGGTTAACAGGCCACGGGCCAGAAGACGCGTCTTTTCAGATGATGAAGCAAATCCACCCCATTCTGTTCCCATAACCTAGCCTGTTAAAGCCACTTTGGTGAGATCTGATGATGATACTCCTACGGCAGCTCGTGACTTTGATTATAAGCTTTTCTCTCGTGGGTTTGGTAGTGAGAATTTGGATTTAGTTTTTGATGAAGTACCCCTTGCTTCCTTTACCATGCCTGTCCCTCTGGTGTGTTCTTTGCCAGTAGTTACCGCTACTGTTTCTTCTCCGCCCCAAGCTGTTATGACTTCTTCTACAGTTCCCACTACTACCGTTCCTCGTACTAAAATTGGTTCTTCTAGTGGAAGTGGAGAGATGAAGCAGATTACCATTGAGGTCCCTGCCGATGGTAATCTTTTGAAAAAGTCAGGTCAGGCTGACGTATGGTTGAAACCTTTGATCGGTCCAGTCGAAAAGTTCAAGCTTGAGAGTCACAGCTCTTTGACTTGGATGAATGATATAGTGCAATCGTCACTGAAGGTATTTGATCCTGTTTACACTTTATTCCATTCTCTTCTCTTTATATTAAGGTTCTAACCCCTTTCTTTTTTCTTTTTTTAGATCAATCTTATTGGCACAGAGATGATGAAGAGGGTTTCTCATACGGAGCAGTTAATGCTTGATTATCAAATTGAACCAGACAATTGGAAAGAACAATAAGAAAGTCTGCAACTTAAGATGGAAGTTCTAGAAGAGAGCAAGTGTACCTTAGAGCAGCAGCTAAGAGTCATGGCATCGGAGCTAGCAGTTGAGAAGGCTTATTCCAATCAGGCTGGCAAGGATAAAAATCTCCTTGAGACATCTTTTTCCGAGCAACTCTCCAAGGCCAGTGAAGAGATTAGAGGATTGAGGGCTTTACTGAACGAAAAAGAAGTTTATGCAGGTGAACTTGTTCAGACCTAGACCTAGACCCAAGAGGATCTTCGTGTATCTTCCGATAAGGTTAGATTCTTAGAAAGTTCACTTGCCCCTTTGCAATCCTTTTATGATGCTTCTTTGGCCGAGAAGGAAGAACTCAAAAATGAGATTGACCAATAGGAGAAGGATTATGAAGCTCTCGAGGACAAAACTGCTATTGAAGTGAGTTGGGCTATCTTAAATACATGCCATGATACCCTAGTGGAGGCTAGCCAAGAAGGTTTTAATTTGGATGTTGAGTTGGCTAAGATAAAGGAAACCATTGAGAAAACTCAGCAAGACCAAAGTTTTTCTTCTCCTATGGCTGATACTCATGAGTATATTGAAGCTAATGTAGGCGTGGTGGATGTCCCAGCTCCTTCAAATCAAATCGAGCCTGCTAATGATGCTGCTTTAGACTCTTCTTCTGCTCTCCAGTGAAAGTTTATGAAGTTCCCTTTCTTTTTTTTGGTGGAATGTGGTTTTACCCCTGGTCCCATTTGGGGGTTCAGTTTTTGGAAATGACAAGTCCCCAGACCTTTTTGGGGCATTTTGTAAAAATATGACAATCAGTTTATGACTTAGTCTTAATATTATAAAGTTTTTGTTTCAACTTAATTATCTTGAGTTTCTGTTTTACTCTTTTTGCCTTGTTTCATTATATAAATTCAAGGTTTTGCTTTTTAATTCATGGGTTTTCGTCTTACCCTTTTTGCATTTTTTTTATAAAACGCTTTACTAACTTCATGTATCTTTGAATCAGACATGAAATTATAAAAGAGGGTCATTTTATATACGATACTTAATGAAGAAGACGTATCAACTTCATAACGGTGTAAGTATACGAAAAAAGAAATAGGAACACCATGTTTCTTGAAATAACTTTGATAAAGTTTTCATTTGAGCTTTGTCATGTTTAAATAACATCTTACATGTATTTAAATATCTTCTATAACTTTTTCGTAACTGTTTTCTTTACAACAGATTTGCAAAAAAGGAAAGAAAATCCAAGGATTTTTTATAACCCATGGCTAAATACTGCCTTTAACCTAGACATCATAAGATTTTGAAATCTATATGAAGATGTTTTGATTGGCTTGTGTTATTGGCTCGTGACTTTGCTCTGAACTTGATACATTTGATGAGTAGACTTTTGGGCTTCACTTGAACTTTAATTATTTTCAGTCTTCTTTGCCTTCTTTATACATATATCATATATATATATTATATAGTCCCCCAAGTGTTTGAGCTTTGAAGTAAAATCTCGAGCACTTGATTATTCCTTCCATGCGGTCCTTTTCCTGAAAAGGAAAAACATACGGGACTCAGAGGTACGATTTTAGATGAAGACGGCTTAACCTATTTAAATTTCCATCAGAACAGTTGTAACCCTAGACCGGGAATTATGTTCTTTCCACGTGTCATTTCAGGTCGTAATTCATCATTTAGTACGGGATAGCTTTTTGCCTATCATCTAAAATTGTTAGTAAAATTTTAACAATTCAAAAATAAAAGTTATTAATGAGGGTACCTACCCGTGGGTATTTCTTTTCCTTAGAAATAGTATCTTTTCAGATGAACAACATTCCAATTTGAAGATAGAATCTTGTCATCCATTGTTTCCAGTTTGTATGCTCCTTTTCCTGCGATACCATGAATCTTATAAGGTCCTTCCCAAGTTGGACTTAACTTTCCTACATTAGCTGCCCTCGTTGATTGGAAAAATTTCTTGAGTACGAAGTCCCCAATCTTAAAGTATCTGAGACGAGCTTTCCGGTTATAGTATCGTTCCATAACTTGTTTTTGCGCTGCCATCCTTATTAATGCAGCTTCCCTCCTTTCTTCAAGTAAATCCAGGTTTACTCGCATCTCTTCTTCATTTGATTCCTCAGTTGCTTGTGTATATCTCGTGCTTGGTTCCCCTATCTCGACTGGAATTAAGGCTTCAGCTCCGTATACAAGTGAGAATGGTGTTTCCCCCGTACTTGTTTTTGTGGTTGTTCGATAAGCCTATAAGACTCCAGGTAACACCTCTGGCCAATTGCCTTTAGATTCCTCCAATCTTTTCTTCAAGTAGTTGATAATGACTTTATTCATTGATTCAGCTTGCACATTACCCACTGGATGGTAAGGCGTTGAAGTAATCCTTTTAATTTGCTAACTCTGAAAAAATTCTGTGATTTGTGTGCCTATAAATTGCGGGCCACTATCACATACGATTTCCTTTGGTACACCAAATCGGCATATGATGTTTCGCCAAATGAAATCTCTGACCTCTTTTTCTCGTACCTGTTTAAGAGCTCCTGTTTCTACCCACTTAGTAAAGTAATCAGTGAGTACTAACAGAAATCTTACATTGCCTTTGGCTTGGGGTAGTGGACCCACGATATTCATCTCCCATTTCATAAAAAGGCCACGGTGCAATAACTGGATGTAATAATTCAGCAGGTTGATGCATGTTGTTACCGTATCTTTTGCACTTGTCACATTTAGCTACAAAATTTTCCGCGTCTTCTTCCATTTTTGGCCAATAATAGCCGGCTCTAATCATGGTTTTTACTAAAGATCTTCCTCCTGCGTGATTTCCACAATGTCCCTCGTGTATTTCTCCCATCACATACTCTGTTTGAGAAGGCCTGGGGCATCTTGCTAGAGGACCACAGAACATTTTACGATAAAGATTGTCTTGCTTTAAACAATATCGAACAACTTTTTTGCAAGTGCTTGAGCATTTTTCTTATCTTCAGGTAAAATTCCATATTGCAAAAAATTGACAATCTCATTCCTCCAATCCCAAATTAGGTTATTGAAATTTACGTCGTTTTTGTCTTGATCAAGTACGAAATGAAATAAATGAATCACAGAAGCATTTTCGTCATTCGTTACTTCTGCAGCAGATGCAAGATTAGCTAGGGCATCATCCTCTGCATTTCCTCTCTTGGTATCTGCACGACTTTCCAAGTTTGAAACTGCCTGACCAAATCACATGCCTTTACCAGTTACTACTGCATTCTTGCCTCTCTGGCTATATAAGTCCCCAGTATTTGGTTAACTACGAGCTGTGAATTGCTTTTGATTACGACTTGTTCTATACCAAGCTCTCGTGCTAGTTCTAAATATGCAATCACAACTTCATATTCTGCCTCATTGTTAGTTATAGGGCGATATTTTATGGTTTGTCATATTGTTTCTTCCGTGGGTGGTACCAAAATAATACCTAAACCTGCCCCTTTCACATTCGATGAACCATCAGTGAATAAGGTCCAAGTTCCTGGATTAGACTCGTTAAATACCTGTAGTTCTTTTCTGCTTCTAGTTGTATCCCTTGACTAAAATCGGCCACGAAATCTACTAAAACCTGTAACTTTATTGCAGTTCTGGGTTGATATGTAATGTCATATTCACTTAGTTCTATGGCCAACATGGCTAATCTATATGATAACTCTTGTTTATGCAATATATTATGCAAGGGATATGCGGTTACTACAGAGATGGGATGGCATTGAAAATAAGGTCTTAACTTCCTAGATGCCATGATTAATGCTAGTACAAGCTTTTCTAGATGAGGATACCGAGTTTCAGCATCTAATAATGACTTGCTCATATAATAAATTGGAGACTGTTTACCTTGGTCTTCTCGAACTAACATAACACTTACCGCTACTTCTGAAACAGTAAGGTAGATGAGTAGTTTCTCCCCATATTTTGATTTCACAAACAACGGTGGATTTGACAAATATACTTTCAAATTTTTAAGCGCCTGTTGACATTCTTCAGACCATTCAAATTGATCCTGCTTTTTTAGGGCTAAAAAGAACCTGAAGCATTTTTTTGATGATTTTGAAATCAATCTTCCCAAAGCTTCTATTCTCACTGTCAGTCTCTATACCTCTTTTTTACTTGTCAGTGTATCTGGGATTTCCTCAATAGCTTTAATCTGCGCAGGATTTACTTCAATGCCATGGTTAGAAATAAGAAATCCCAAGAACTTACCTGACAAAACTCCAAATGCACATTTCTCAGGGTTTAACTTCATGTTAAATTTACGAAGAATCTTAAATGTATCAGACAAGTGTTGGATATAATCCCCTGCTTGTTGTGACTTGACCAACATATCATCTATATAAACCTCCATGGTTTTCCCTAAATGTTCTTGAAACATTTTGGTCACCAACCTTTGATATGTGGCTCCAGTGTTCTTGAGACCAAATGGCATTACTTTGTAACAGTAAGTCCCCCTGTCAATTATAATTGAAGTTTTTTCCTCATCTATGGGATCTATTTTTATTTGATTATACCCTGAATATGCATCTAAAAAACTTAACAATTCATGTCCTACAGTGGCATCAATTAGTTGATCTATATGCGGTAATGGAAAAGAATCTTTAGGACAAGTTTTGTTTAAGTTAGTATAATCTACACAAACTCGCCACTTATCATTCTTTTTAGGTACTACTACAGTATTAGCTAACCAATTTGGATATTTTACCTCGCGTATGGACCCAATTTTTAAAAGTTTTTGTACCTCATCTTGAATCACCTAATTTTTTAAAGATCCTTGCTTTCTTTTCTTTTGTTTAACAGATGGGTATGATGGATCGTCATTTAACTTGTGGGTCATCACTTCCGGAGGTATTCCTGTCATATCAGAATGGGACCAGGAAAAATAATCCATGTTAGTTTTCAAAAATTCAGTCAACTTATTTTCATTTCTTGGCTTAGGTTGGCCCCAATATAGACTTTCCTTTCAGGACAAGGTGCAAATATACTACAGCTTCCAATTCCTCAATCATTGTTTTGATGTTTTCATTTTCCTCTGGCTCTTGGATGGTATCGGGTCTCGAGTCTACATCTGTTCGCCCGTGCTCAATTGAGGCTTGTGTTGCAGCATCCTCAACTGGATTCTGTGATTGCTATTTCTCTTTATTTTTTGCCCTTGAATCTGCTACGGAATTAATGCTCCTAGACGCTTGCTGGTTACCATGGATTTGCCGTATTCCCCATTGTGAATGGAATTTAATAACTTGATGTAGGGTAAATGGAACAACATCCATTTCGTGAATTCATGGTCTACCGAGAATCATATTGTAAGCCACGTCCATCTCTACCACCTGAAATTTTGTGTCTTTGACAACTCCTTCTGCGTACGTGGTGAGTATTATCTCCCTTTTTGTTACGACGCTCGAGTTGTCAAAACCAGATAAGGTGTATGCCTTGGGTATTAGCTTATCTTCAACTTGCATTTCATTTACCACTCTTAGCAGAATGATATTCACGGAGCTACTTGGATCAATTAAAACTCGTTTCACATTAGTGTCATGTACAAGTAAAGATATTAACAATGCGTCATTGTGCGGGGTTAGCACGCCGTCTGCATCTGCATCATCAAATATAATACTTTCTTCTTCCAAAACCTTTCGAACTCGCTTCCCGTGTGTGACTGTAATTTTTGAAACCTTTTTGGCTGCTGTATATGTTACGCCATTAATTTCTTCTCCTCTGCTTATGACATTAACTGTCCTCTTTGGTGAAAGGGGTTTAAGGGGCTCCTGCTTGTTCTTCATATACGTTTGCTTACCCTTTTCACTGAACAATTCGGTTAGATACCTTACTTTAAC